AAGGAGTAAGTGGACCAAGTCCTTCATAGATCGGCTCTGCGGTCTATGGACCAATGCAGGCGGGTTCACCAAGAACCGCGCCTCACCTATCAGACACCGTTCGACCCCGGACCCTCCTGTCAGCCGCGGTTTAGCTCGGATGGCGCCATGCTGACGTCATGCCGATGATGAGACCACACCAGCGTCGGGGACTTCGGTAATCTCTCCGACCACCCCCGCGATCTCTCCGACCACCTCGGTCAGCCTTCCGACCACCTCGGCCAACCTTCCGATCACTTCGGCGATCCCACCGACCACGTCGGCGAGCTCTCCGACCACTTCGGCGACCTCTCCGACCACCACACCAGCTGTGTCCCTACATGCCACGTGAACCGGTCACAGTGTGACACGTGTCAGCCCTGAATTAATCAACCTTAATTTAATCTTCGGAAATATATAACTAATTCATATGATCTCAGAAAAATACAAGACCAGGACCAAAATCCATCTAAAATTGAGCTCTATGCAATGAACCCAAGTTTGAGTGCATTTGGCTCTTTTGAATTTTCACTACCTCTTTGTGCTATTCTATAGGCGTCGCTAATGCGACTATAATTCGATCGTATGCAGACTCGGAGGAGAACCAGACGGACGAGGACCGAGAGTACCGTGAGGAGTGCGAGACGACTACACTAAAGGTGTCATATCCCACCCAATCTCATAGCACCTATTACGCATGGCTAAAGTAGAAATGCTAGTGCTTACTTTATTGTCATATCACACTATGGTAGGACTTGCATGGTAGTATGCTTTCTTGATGGCCTTTACCTTGACGCAACCTTACCCCTGCTCACCCTGCTGTTAGGCTAGTCATACGCTTGCTATTATATTTTATTGCTTATTACTTCTACTACGCTTGTGCTATATTGATGCATGGTGGAAACTTGTGTTAACTGGACTATGGGGAGATTGCTGTGTGTGTGACTTGGGTGCGTGGAGGGTGAGGGTTGTGTCGATCAAGTTGGAGTATACGACGAGCCTGGGGCAAGTCTTGCCGTGGGGTGCTACCTAGGCACCCCTGGAATGGATACCTGTGGTGGGTAAATGGTATATGGGGTGGCCCTAGGTGTGTTCCTGTGATGGGAGGAGCCCAGGGTGGAGGTGCTGTGGTGGCACGGTAAATGGAAACCCTGATGAAGACATTCTGGCTTGGTCACCCCTAAGGACTTACTAGTACACAGATTCACCGGAAAGCCTTACGTACCACTCGCCCTATATGGTGCGGGACGGCCGGACTACTTGGTAGGATATTGCCACTACTGCTAGGTTGATAGCGGACGGTGTGAGGGAGGTACGGGGCGCGGAGGATTCCCCCCACACCCTTCCGAGACTTCATGGAGACCTTGTGGACCCGGCTCATGACTCACAGTTTCAGCCACCCCAATCTGGACTTGGGGTGTACCAGGGCTGAATGGTAGAATGGCATTATCCTAGGCTAGCAAGCGGCCGAAATCAGCTCAGTTGACGACGGTCAGTGAGGAAGGCGGATCTTGTGGTTATGTAAAACCTCTGCAGAGTGTATGGTTGATCGATCGATACATATGCCGACTTGTCGGCTATGGATCTTTCCTGTGTTTCGCTTAAACTAGATAGAGAGATGAGTCCTTCTTTTCTCCCCCTGGGATGAGTGTTTGGATGTAGCCAGGGGCTACGGGCCTTGGGACAGTGCCGAGAGAGAGTTGGCCTGTCGACTGAACGATGGTATGGGTATGGTATGGTGATGGTATGGTGATGATGTGGATATGGTAGTATATCGATCCCAGGATCGAAACCTGGCTCTGGAATGGGAATGTGGTGGAATAGGTGTGAGAATGGAGTTAAAACTTGACCAATTATTATTATATACTTGATTTACTAATGCATAGGAAACCCCAGCCTTATAGGTTCCTCTTGATTACATCCAATTTGCATCCAATTTCTACAAAGCAATGCTCATAGGGTTGGGAGTGGCCAGTACAAATCGTACTGATAAATTTTGGCACACAGGTTCTGCTGAGGAGTATAGCTCCGAAGAGTTTGACGGTTGAGGGGTTCGTTCCTACGCTCGAGTTTGGCGATCTTATCTTCAAGTTGTTTTGAATGAATGCTACTTTTTAATTCCGCCAATACGGCGATGTAATAATTTATGTATTCCGTACTGTTTGTACTCTGATATTATCGTTGTATGGATATAATATTCGACTGGAATTTTGGTAATATGATCTACAATGGTCTTATTACACTTCGACTCGGTGGATTTCCCTTCGCGGAAATCGGGGTTATTTCAATAATGAGCACGAGCAGGAGGAAGATAAGAACTATTGGCCTCAAATTCATCACGCCGATCAGCAATCACGGAACATTTCAATCACCATCAAACAATCCGACTGAGTAGTCCTTTTCTGTTATTGTACTAGGCTTTACCAAATTCTTTGTGTGTGTGTGTGTGAACACTTCACCAAATTATTATTATTATTATGGTTACCCAATAAGTATTTGCTTCAAACCCAAGCCCCATCCAACTTTTTGTATGGTTTGCTTCCTTGACGAGAAGCGATGTCAGACACTCAAGCACTATAGTTGAGGACTTGAAAGCTGTCTAATCTAGACAAAGATACCCTGTTGGATTTTCTACTGAAATACCCACAGGTAGAGAAGTACTACTAGACAACCGAACTCTGTGACAACACATTGGGGATAAATTAGCGCTGCTGCTTCAAGTAATCATAATTAAGGTTGTGAATTCCCGTTATGATCTAACATATACAACTCCAGCACCGTAACTTACATATATACCAATAAAATCCACACGATGACAAGACAAGTAAGACATAAATGGGGAGATCATTAATTAAACCAGAAGGAAACAGCATACATAAATAAGAAACCCTAACTTCACAGCGCGAACCGAGACGAATGTACCGGTTCTACAAGAGAACGAGAGTGACTCAGAGATCCGACTGCCACGTCGACGACGGACGACCAAAAGCGAGCCAGGAACTCACCGGGAAAGGGGCGAGGGGGAAAGGAAATCTCACCATCTCATCTCACGCCCGCGGACGCAGATTAGGGGGAACCGGCGCGGGACGCGGGGTGGAGAGAGAGGGGAGAGCCGCGGGTTCCTCTTCTGATTCCTTGACAGCTCCAATCCAATGGATTCCAGCTTGCCCGCCCGCCCGCCACGCTTTGACTGCCGCTACCCCTCCTCCCTTGGGCTCCTCCTCCACTCCTCGGCTGGCTACAGTTTCGCAGCAGCCGTGGAGAAGGCGACGTTCCAGAGGGAAAGAGAGAATCCCTGTTAGCCATTAAAAAAAAGATGGCAATCACCAGGTGAGCCAATAGAAAAGTTCAGCGACTTTAACGTTACTGGTCTAACTTTTTTTTTCTCTCCATGCCACTGCCGTTGGATTGGGCTATAACGGTATCAAACTACATGTGTAAAAAGTCAAAAATACCCTTAAGTCTAAATATATCGTTAATTTTTTTGAGCATCATAATAACTTCAAATGAAAAAACTCAAAACTAGAAAGTTGTAGATCTCATCGAGATCTATAATTTTCATATAAAAATTATCTTCATTTAATTTCGAAAAAAAAGATATGATTTGATATGATTAATATATCTTAAAAAATCATATCTTTTTTGTGGTATTAAAAGAAGATAATTTTTATATGAAAATTATAGATCTCGACGAGATCTACAACTTTCTAGTTTTGAGTTTTTTCATTTGAAGTCGTTAAGATGCTAAAAAAATAATGATATATTTAGACTTAAGGGTATTTTCGACTTTTCACACCTGCAGTTGACACTGTTAGAGCCTAATCTGACGTCAGTGGCATGGAGGGAAAAAAAGTTGGAGCAGTGGCGCTGAAGTCCGCTGAACTTTTCCAGTGGCTCACAGAGGATTGCGATCTTTTTTAATGGTTCACAAAAATTCCGCCAAAGGGAAATTCCCCCTGTTGATTTCAGTTTCTTAGATTTTCTTCTTCTTTCTTTTGATAGTGTTTTTTTTAGAAATACTAATGGTCAACCGGTTGATTTAGGAACATCTCTCAACCGTTTTTTTGCCATCGGATGACGTTCGATCCTCCTCGCCCGTCCTCTCTCAGCCGTCGATAGAGAACCAATCGGATAACTTCGGCCTCGTGGTCGCCCCCGTCGTTCCCCACGGCTTCTCTCGAGGGAGCCGCGTAGGCGGCCTACTCGCCTAGGCTGCGTGTCCACCGCCGAGTAGTGCAGCGTGTACATGAGCAAAGGAGAGAGGGACTGCTCGTGGGGCCCGCGCCGGTTGACCAAGAGTGGAGCAGAGGCACTTCCTCCTCCGCTTCTTCTTCAAGTGAGAGGTCGGGCGCTGCTTTAGTTTTGCTTGGGACGAGCGTGTGCACTGCGTCCCCGGCACGCCTTCTTCCGTTGCAGCAGTAGTTTTGTGTGGATTTTGTATATTTTTTGAATTTTGTGAAGAATTTGGCATATATTTCTTTGGTGTCTGGAATCATAGAAATAATTTGTTTTTTTTTTGAAAAATTTAGCATATATTTATGCTATTTCCAAATTACATCACTCTATTCAATAAATCATACTGAAGAAATCATTATAAATATAGTAATAAGTCGGTATAAATATAGATATAAGACAGTGTAAGTGCGTATAAAAAATTCAGTTGATGGAAGGGCTAAATCAAGCGGTTGTTGGCTATGTTCGGAGAGAGTAAAATTTCCTCGCGCAGCCGTGTCACACTGGCTGGGCCTGTCTTCCGTTGCTGACTCTGTTGGGCTGGTCATGATGGGCCGGGCTTTCCGAGTCGGAAGGAGACGGGCCCACCCCCACTTGCCACGGGCGGCACGAAGCATGCTCCTCTGCCACTCCACGCGGAAACAGACAAGCCGAGCGGCACTCCCGACACCTCTGCTGGCCGGCCGGCCGGTTCACTCAACTCCTCCTCCTCCTCGGCTCCTCCTCCTCTCTGTTGGAGCGCGGCGTCGATGGCAGCTCCGCCAGCGCTCGCGCGGGAGCTGCTGGACGCGGCGCGGGCGCCGGGGTTCGTGGAGTGGCAGCGCGGCGTGCGGCGCCGGATCCACCAGCACCCGGAGCTGGCCTTCCTGGAGCACCGCACCAGCGCGCTCGTGCGCGACGAGCTCGACGCAATCGGCGTCCCGTACGCCTGGCCCGTCGCGCAGACGGGCGTCGTGGCCACCATCACCGGCCCCGCCGCGGCCGGGGGCCCCGTGTTCGCGCTCCGCGCCGACATGGACGCGCTCCCCATCCAGGTCCGTGCTTCTCGCTTTTTTATTCGTTTCGCGATTGATTGATTGATTGATTCGGAGGTCATCACCGGCCCAGTGCATGCTTGCGATGGCTTCATCAGAACTTTATTTTAGCGCCAAATTTAAATTTGCAGCAAACTTAGTACTGTAATAAAGAGGAAAAATTATCAAATTTGCCGGGTTTTTTTCCCTTGGCAATCCGCAAAGAAATGCTTGGATCATTTCGTTTGTTTCTACGTCGACAAAATCGCCATTTGTCAGTATGACACCAGCACTACCAAAAAGTCTTCCTTGAGCTGTCCATCAAGCTTGAGAGCGATTGACAACCATACTACAAACCAGCCGATGTTAACTGTGTTTTTTTGAATGACTGAGGGCCCGTTTGGCATGCTCCGGCTCGTTAAAAAACAGCTCTGGCTCTGGCTCGTATGGAAAAGTAGTTTTTTTTGACTATGTCTTATTTTATACGAAAACATTTGGCAAAACGGTTTCTCTAAGTGTAAAGAAGACGTAAAATGTCCAAAATACCCTTATATTTTTTTTTTTTTTCTCTTCATTTTTCTTTCTTTTTTTCTTTTTCTTTCCTTCTCCCTTCTTTTCTTCTCCTTATCCGAACGGCCTCACTCCTTACCGGCACCTCCATCCATCCTCTCTCTCTCTCTCTCTCTCTCTCTCTCTCAGAGGCAGAGGCCACAAGGCGGAGCCGGACCGGCGGGTGGAGGCCGAGGAGAGCCAGGCAGTAGGGCGGAGCGGAGCAGGGAGAAGCCGGCGGTGGGGCGGAGCTCGAGGCCGACGGAGTGGAGCATGGAGAAGCCGGCGGGGCGGAGCTCAAGGCCGATGGGGCGGCGTAGGGAGGTGGCCGTCGGCGCGCGGCGTCGGGGAGGAGAGCAAGCCGGGGACAGGGATGGAAAGTGACAAGCTCGAGCCAGAATAAGCCAGTATTTTTGGCTTATCACGTGGGGTGGAACTGAGTCACCGGGTTTTACGGGGCTTTGCCGGCTTCTTGCCGCAAGCCGTTTTGCCTGTCGCCGTTTGGCAAGGCTTCGCCCGAAGTCGCTCAAGGAGCCGCGGCAAAAGCCCTGCCAAAGGGGGCTAAACAACCATACTACAAACTAGTCCACTGTACAACATAATGTTGTCAACATCTCGAAAAAACAAGTAGCACTGGTGTACTAACATCTTATCATAATTACTCCGATCCACTATGCGCATGCAATCGACAAATATTTGGCTTTACCATGACTTCCCGTTGGCAGGAAATGGTAGAATGGGAGTTCAAGAGCAAGGAAGACGGGAAAATGCATGCGTGTGGCCATGACGCCCACGTGGCGATGCTTCTCGGAGCAGCTAAGCTGCTTCAGTCTCGGAGGCACGATTTGAAGGTAGTCTTTCGGCGATATTTTTTGGCTCGCTTTTGTCAGAGATATTTCAGTAATCCATTCTACTATACAGTTCTGAAACTGAATTTGGTTCTAATTGTTTCACTCACAAGATGATTTGGTTTGTGAAAACTGGCACACTAAAATTGTAGATGTCCGAGAGTACCCAATATTTTCTTCCTAAAAGTATTAAGTTTTACAACTCCTAAAAGAGTATCGAAAGAAATAAAGAAGGCCATTTGTAAGAGTTTCTAATAATCCACTCCAAAAATATAGAAAACAATTTTACATCATAAACGCGTAACTTTACGCAGAACAGGTTGACTTTTCCCAAGTTCTAAAATATTAGGAGGATGGATTAGTTGTTGGAGAGAGATTTTTTCTCATCTTACTCGAAACAAAAGATTAGGAAGGGATTTGGAGAACTCTCGGACACGCTCTTAATACTTTCTCCGTTCCAAGTAATAATAGCTCGTTTTATTTAGCATCTACCATGCATTATCTTGTTTTTACAATAGAAGAGAGTTAAAAGATCTAGCCGCCACATTTACCGCTATTACTATTTCATCCACAGGGTACAGTGAAGCTTGTCTTCCAGCCGGCCGAGGAGGGCCACGCCGGCGGCTACCACGTCCTCAAAGAAGGCGTCCTGGACGACGTGCAGGCCATCTTCGCCGTGCACGTGGACACGGGACTGCCGGTAGGCCTCGTCGGCTCCAGGCCAGGGCCGGTCCTCGCCGGAGCGGCTCGGTTCACGGCGACCATCACGGGGAAAGGTGGGCACGCGGCGGGGCCACAGCACGTCGTCGACCCGATCGTCGCGGCGTCCTCCGCTGTCCTCAGCCTCCAGCAGCTCGTTGCTCGCGAAACCGATCCGCTACAAGGCGCAGTACGTACACCAGTACAACTTGTGTCTGCAAGACTGCAATGCAGTGTAAGTAGTTGATGAACTGCATTTCGTCGTCGTGCTGCCTCTGCTTGCACTGCGCAGGTTGTGTCAGTGACCTTCATCAAAGGAGGCGAAGCTTTCAATGTCATCCCGGAATCCGTCACCATGGGCGGCACCTTCAGGAGCATGACGAACAATGGCCTATCCTATCTCATGAAGAGAATCAGAGAGGTAGTTCACACTGACAAATCTGAAACTCACATGAACAATGGTCTAATAATCCCCATTATTCCCTTGCATGCCGATGCCGATGTCATATATGGTGCAGGTGATAGAAGGACAAGCCGCTGTGTGCCGGTGCGCAGCAACGGTGGACTTCATGGAGGAGAAGATGAGGCCGTACCCGGCCACCGTGAACGAGGAGGCGATGTACGCCCACGCCAAGGCGGTGGCCGAGAGCATGCTGGGCGAGGCCAACGTGAAGGTCCGGCCGCAGGTCATGGCGGCGGAGGACTTCGGCTTCTACGCGCAGAAGATCCCGGCCGCCTTCTTCAGCGTCGGCGTCCGCGACGAGGGGACGGGGAAGGTCCACCATGTGCACTCACCGCACCTCCAGATCGACGAGGGCGCGCTCCCCATCGGAGCCGCGTTCCACGCCGCCGTGGCCATGGAGTACCTGAACAAACACGTCTCGCCGGCGGCGAGCGAGGCCCAGGCGCCCAGCTAGGCCTCTAACACCATAGCCTGAACATGATCTCGTGATCTGGCCATTCCAATACTCCATGCATCGATCAAAAGAACTCAGTTGAATAAAATAAAAACGAGGCCTTCAACTTCTAAATTAAAAAAGGTAAAAAAAAATCGAAACGTGCGGAGCTGCACCAGGAACCATTTGCCAGCGCGCCACCGCCCATTTGCCAATCCCCCGTCGGCGCCTGATGCTCCGTTAGGCCGTATTTTTTTACAATTTAGCCCTTTTTTAAGAAAATTTACGTTTAGCTCTCTGAGAGACGTAAACTCATCTTTAGATCTTTGGGGTCGGCGTCAGGACTCATGACGCCAAGTAACACGTCTCGGCGTCACAGAACTTGGCTCCGAGGTGCCTAGCCGTGTACAGCAAAGCATCCTAAGTGGTGTTGATGTAGCCGGTACCTCGACGCCAGAATACATGGCTCGAGTCGAGGCCACGTATCTTAGCACCGACCTCGGAGCCGTCAAATGATCATCACGTTTTACCTCAGTGTTCAAAAGCACACGGGTCCGAGGTGCAGTCGCTCGTCATCGAGATCATCATCACGTTTTACCTCATGCAGCTTGTTCGTTTGATCGTAAATGATCGTGAGTTATAAGTCAGAATAGTATTTTTCTCTCACACCAAACCAACCAGCAGTAATAATCGATTGTTTGGGCCGAAACTAACATGCTGATGTTCGTCATCTCCGGCGTCGCCACAGACAACAGAGCGGTAAGCGGAACTGAGGATGATGATGGTTATCTGTTTTTTTTTAATCTTTTTCTTCTTTTTGTTTTTCCTTGATTTTCATGCTATTGATCGACTGTGTATCTGCAGATCGGGGAGCTGGCAGGGCTGGCCGTGGGCGCAACCATCCTGCTTAGCGTGCTCATTGCCGGGTAACTACTCTACGTATCACTCTTCATGACGTACTATATACATGGCCTCAAATATATATTTTCTCCAAATATTACTCCTAAGTAGCAGTAATTACTAATTAGTAGGGCATTTGCATGAACATCAGCCGGGTTGTCACAGGAATAACTTTAAGCTTTTTAACTTTTCACACTGCGTGCACAAAGCGACAAACTATCGACCAGACAGTGTTTTCCCAAGTCAAAAAAAAAAAACAAATACCAAAACAGAAAATAGAGGGCTTTGTTGTGGGTGCCTCTGTCGGTAGCAGGGTTCTATGGAGCCATAAAGACCGTCATGTGAGTGGAGAGTAGTCATGGCGTAATAGCATGGAACCATAAAGACCGTCAAGTCGTATGGTTGGTGGAACACCGGTGCAATGCCATTAATGTGAACGTAATACCACTCCTGTCCTGCTAGGCTGCTAGTCTGGCTGTAAGCGGGCAAATTTTACCGACAGCCGAGAATCAAACCGAAAATACCAAGAACCGAATCGAATTTATCGAGAACCGAAGTCTCGGTTCCCTGTTCGGTTCTTATTTCTGAAAAACAAAAATTTGTTCGGTAAAATTGGTTCCCCTTGGTTAACCGAGAAACCTAAAATAGTGTAGTAGTGTGCTGTCTTAGTGTCTTGCACTCTTGTTGAATGTTGATGCCTTGTTTTAGAAGTTAGCACTCTATTTATGTATTTGTTATTCTATTTGACTGTTATATTTGTCACTGTGGTTTTATATGCAATCCTGCTAAAATGTTGTCAAAATTTGCTATTGAACATACTCTTACATAGATTTTGGGTACTATTATGTTTTTTCGGTTCTACCCAGAACCGAACCGAAAGAACCAATATCAAACTTGGTTGGTTCCATGTTTTTTAAAGAACCGATCGGTACTGGTTTTATGAGAACCGAACTACTTCAAAAACCGAAGAACCGATCGGTTCGGTTCGGTAACGCCCAAGGCTATCTGTCTGAGTGGTAGGGCCGCCTATGTGTGTGCAGAAACGTATGCAAATGCACTCTCTTCTCTTGTGAACACTGACCTGCCCAATAGACTCAGCTAGTCTGTTTGAGTAGGGGCTAGATGATTTCACGGCTCCGAGGTCCGCGCCAAGATCTGTGACGCCGACCTCGGAGCCATGTATTCTGGTGTCGAGGTACCGGTCAAGTCAACGCCACCTAAGATGTCATGTTGTGCACCGTCAAGCACCTCGGAGCCAAGATCTGTGGCGCCGAGACGTGTTACCTTGGCGTCATGAGTCCTGGCGCTGACCCCAAGGGTCCAAAGATGGATTTACGTCTCGCAGAGGGCTAAACGTAAATTTTCTTTAAAAAACAGCCAAATTGTAAAAAAAAAAGGGTCCATTAGGTGCTCCAATGCTCCGACAACTAAAAGAACACATAAAAAATGTACAAAAAAATTAAGCAAAATCATGTATGGAGTATGGACAGATATATAATGCAAAAATATTTGCTGGTTTAATCAAAATTTGAGGTTGAACAAAGTTTTCGCACGGAAAAACGAAGAGTAAAACAGCATGCAATAGGAACAGGTCGTGGGGTTCGCCGTTCGCATGACCAGGTCACTCAGACCCGCACTTGCTGATCTTCTCTCCATTTTTTTTTTGTTTCCTCTTGTCCAAAAAATTGTCTAATCACAAATTATGCATCAACATGCATCCTTGAATCATTTATATGTCTATGTGTTTGCTTGATTTTTTTGTGTGTTTTTTTAAGCGAAAGCATGGAAGCATGGAGATGAACCGTGGACAGGATATGTTTCTGGATGTGATTTGAGAGACCAAGGGGCAGCAGCGGCAGGCGGATTGTCTCGTTAGGTGTGTTTAGTTGGCTGATCTCTCTCATCTTGGTTAGATGGATTTGAATAATCTGAGAAACAAAAGGTATTTTTAGTTGTCAGTTCAGTAGGTGCAACCTATCCGAGCGAATGTAGAAATAGCGACTCATTCTAGCCATGCTTGAAATGAGTTTCGTTGGCCATCCTGATTCCTGACTAGGTAGATGTTGTACATCTTTTGCTGGCCCGTATGCCATTTCTCTGATAAAAAGTCTCCGTATCCATCTTCACAGGATTATTACAAATTTTTGAAACTACTAATGCGTCCATTCATACAATACGATGCAGCATTGTAAAAGCAACTATTTTTCCCCTAAATTATTCCTGCGGCGTCATGCGTCAGCATATAACTGCATAACCAGCTGTCCAGCAGGAAGGGCTCCGCTTCCGCGAGGACTCCTCGCTCACCACTCAGTCAACAACACCGCCGTTTCCTCCTCCTGTGTCCTGTCCGATCGACGATGGCAGCGGCAGCGCTGGCGCGGGAGCTCCTGGACGCGGCGCGCGCGCCGGAGTTCGCGGGGTGGCATCTCGGCGTGCGGCGCCGGATCCACCAGCACCCGGAGCTGGCGTTCCAGGAGCACCGCACCAGCGCGCTCGTGCGCGCGGAGCTGGGCGCGCTCGGCGTCCCGTACGCCTGGCCCGTCGCGCGGACGGGCGTCGTGGCCACCATCGCCGGCGCCGGCGCCGCCCCGGGCCCCGTGTTCGCGCTCCGGGCCGACATGGACGCGCTCCCCATCCAGGTGTTTTTTTTTGCAAGGATCACTTTGCATAGTGCATTGCATTGTCTGTTTCTGCGTACGTACGTGCACGTGCCTCGATCGATCTTATGCCGCCGCATGCCATTCTTGCCAGTGTCGTCGCTACTAGCTAAGTTCACGTGCTCATGCTATCTCCTTGTTATCATGCATCTCTCTTGTACTAACTGGGCTATGATTTCAATATAAAACTGCCCACGTTGGCTGCGTGCTTTGCCTGTCGGCTGTCGCATTCGTATCACAGAAAAATATTTTTGCTAACAACAACTCAAGCACGAAAATGATTTGCTTCAGCTGCTTACTACTACTACCACTGTACTTTTATGGTGGTTGCTCTGAGCATGGAGTCCTATGCAGTCGGTCGAATATTTCGATGACCAGTTTTCCCGGTTGCTCCTCCATTTGCATGCATTTTGCAGGAATTGGTAGAGTGGGAGTTCAAGAGCAAGGAAGACGGGAAGATGCACGCCTGTGGCCATGATGCTCACGTGGCAATGCTACTCGGAGCTGCTAGGCTGCTTCAGTCTAGGAGGGACCTTTTCAAGGTACTTAGTACTACTCTTTCACCAGTTTTAATTTTTTTCACACACAAAAAAAAAGTTTTAATTTTTTTTACTCTGCATGCTCGTTTTTTAAGAGACAAAAAAAAAAGAATCGATATTTGACTTCCAACGAAGCATCGTGTGCAATATCGATTCTTCCTTGAAATATTGATTCTTCGGGGAATTGCTAAAGCATAGGCGCCTGTTTTTTAAGGGTTTTTTTTTCATGCGAGGGACCATTAGATTTACATTGGAGGGTTGTTGTTCATCTTCTACCTTGATCCTTGAGTACTTGTTCACTTTTTATTTCATATGTTCACGTTCTGAAGTCAGGCATTTGAGATATAGGAAATGTGATATAAAATTCAAGTTGGCTTTTCAAACCCACGGCGAACTAAGGGGTCCGTCCATTGTTCCTGAAGCTGGTTCCAGCTAGCTGTGCCAAGATGCTGGATTCAGAGCTTCCGTGTCAGATTCAGATCACTTTGCACATGGGAGAGCAGGCGATGAATTTAGTTTGCTGAATCGACCATGTACTTGCACATGGGAGAGCAGCCGTTCTCCAACTCCACCCTCGCGACAGCCTACTGCCTACAGGCACTAAAGCGTGTTATGACTTATGAGATGACGAGAACAGATTGCTTGTTGCAACAATGAGCAAATTCTTCTGGTAAATCAGGATTCGGGCATAATGTGAATCACTCAATTCACAAAAAAAGGAAAAAAGAAAAAGGATAATGTGATTCACTCCCAGTTCTTATAAAAAATGGCCATTTGGCATAATTGTGGATTTTGTCCCTAGGGTACAGTGAAGCTCGTGTTCCAGCCGGCCGAGGAGGGCCACGCCGGCGGGTACCATGTCCTCAAGGAAGGCGTCCTGGACGACGTGCAGGCCATCTTCGCCGTGCACGTGGACACCGCCCTGCCGGTGGGCACCGTCGGCTCCAGGCCGGGCCCGTTCCTCGCGGGGTCAGCCCGGTTCACGGCGACCATCACCGGGAAAGGCGGCCACGCGGCGGCGCCCCAGCTCGTCGTCGACCCGATCGTCGCGGCGTCCTCCGCCGTGCTGAGCCTCCAGCAGCTCGTCGCCCGCGAGACCGACCCGCTGCAGGGCGCTGTACGTTCCGTCATCTGCAGTGCAGCAGATCGATCGCCGTCGTGCGTGACTCGTGAGTTGTAATGCATGGCGTCTTCTTGCTTGCGGCTTGCAGGTGGTGTCCGTGACCTTCATAAGAGGCGGCGAGGCTTTCAACGTCATTCCGGAGTCTGTGACCCTGGGTGGCACCTGCCGGAGCATGACAACCGAAGGCCTGTCCTACCTCATGAAGAGAATCCGAGAGGTACCAAACCAAGACAAACAGGCTGCTCAAAGATTATGTAGGATTTTGGAATGAAACAAGTCAAATTCCTTGGAATGTACGTTGGCAATGGCAGGTGATAGAAGGGCAGGCCGCCGTGGGGCGGTGCACGGCAGCCGTCAACTTCATGGAGGAGAAGATGAAGCCATACCCAGCCACCGTCAACGACGAGGCGGTGTACGGCCACGCCAAGGCGGTGGCCGAGAGCATGATTGGGGAGGCCAACGTGAGGCTGTGCCCCCAGTTCATGGCGGCCGAGGACTTCGGCTTCTACTCGCAGCGAATCCCGGCGGCCTTCTTCAGCGTCGGCGTCAGGAACGCCGAGACGGGGAAGATCCACCACGTGCACTCGCCGCACCTCGACATCGACGAGGCCGCGCTCCCCATCGGAGCCGCGCTCCACGCCGCCGTGGCGATCGAGTACCTGAACAAACAGGCGTCTGCGCCAAGGCCAAGCCAAGCTGCAGCTAGCTGTTTACAGTCACCCCTCTCGCCTGTATCTTTTTGTATGGATACTCGGCGGACCATCCTATGCCCCGTTCGCTTGTCTTCAAGTTCGGCTTTTTTTAGTCGGAACAGTGTTTTTTTCTCACACCAATTTAGCAAAAACAGTATTTTTCAGTCAGTTTCAACTAAATTTTAGCCCAGCGAATGGGGCCTAGCCGAATAAGAATGCATACTGTTCTGTCATTCTGTTCATCACAGGGGCACTCGGCTGACCATCTATCTATCTTCTGCAGAGATGTTCGCCCTGTATGGCTTGAGTTATAAACCGTATATTTTTTTATTAATAAATAATATTTTTTCTTACAATAAATTAGCCAAAAATACTTTGAGACCTCACTTATCAGCGTAACTAACGTAACAGTCTAATCCGGTGACTTAGCTACAGTACACCCCGGTCCCCTCACCCAGACCACTGTTCATCCACAGTTCTCCGTCCCTAGCCGTTCAATCCCGTCTGCACAGACCGAATGCCCGCCACGCCCGCTTCCAGAAACCACCACGCCAACCATCGTCAGCCTTTATCCTCTCCTCGTGGACCCGTAAAAGCACATCCGTCTCACCGTATCCGGGCGCATTGCCGCCTCGCAGCCTCCGCCTGCTCTCCCTCTCCCCCGTCTGCGAGCTCCACCGCCTGCGCCCTCCGCCCTCCGCCCTCCGCCGACCGCCGCGCGGCCTGCAGAGCGCCGCGGCGCTCCGCCCCATCTCCGGCCAGCTGCGACGACACCCCGCCGAAGCGCCGCCCGCCTGCGCCCTCCCCCGGCCGCGCGGCGCGTGGCCCGCAGGGCGCCGCTGCGCCACGCCGCACCAACGCCGTTGGGGCGCGCTACGGCCCCGCAGCGGCGCCGGCCCGGCTCCGGCCATCTCCCTCGCGGCGCTTCGTCCTCGCGCACTCCTGCAGCAGCGACGGCCACGCCTGCCGCCCGCCGGGGCAGGGAGGCACCAAGCGTACTCCGCCGTCGCCCGGGGAGATGGGGGCAGCAGGTATGCTATCCTTTTTTTCTCTTTTTTTTCTCAATTTTCCCATATGCTATATTGATATGCACATGAAAATTCATTTGCAGGGCCACTCCCTCTCGCTAATAGTGTCTACCTCCTCCTCCTGCACCATGTGACAGGCACATCATTTGAGCCAACCTTCTTCCTTGCTAAACGCTCATGATAAATACTGATAGATGATGCAAGGTATTTGGCAGTTTCCTCAACAATGTCGATGGTGGTGCTGAATTTTGCAGTTCTCTCAATGTTCAGGTCATCATCATGTACTTCAGTTTTGGATTTTCTATTAGAGACCAGTAAATATTTGTTGTCAAACACATGCTCAATATATTACTGAATGACTGCCTATTGTTTGTCAAATTTGTAGAATATTTTGAGGTGTGCAAGCTTAACATAATGATACCTTGCTAATTTCATGTGATGTTGTGCAGACCTAACTTTAGGTTTTGCTGATGATAGCATCAGTTTTATTGGTAACGTTTCATTCCATCTCACCCTTCTACTTTTCCGACATGCATTTCATGTTTCCCTGCTTAAAAGACTAATGTGCTCTTTTTTTCTCCGTGCTAGCATGGTTATGCCAACCTTCAGCTTGCCAATGTACAGCAGTTCAATCGGTCATTTCCGTGTTCCTTCTGTTTCAGGCCAGCGTGCTGTCTACTGTGCTACGGCACATGACATCGGTCTATGCATGGATGCTGTACAATATTCTGACATCAGTGTGTAATGTCATGACTGACTTTGCATAGTCATTAGATCTCTTCTGAAGAAGAGACTCAGAAATAAGTAGGTTACAATCAATTTTGCTGGGTTAGGTGTTTAAATTTCATACAAAAGCTTTTGCTTAGGTCTAATTCAGATTTTGATAGGCTGGGCAGTACATACTCAGACCTTGGCTTACCATTTGGTATATTTTATAAAGTATGCATCAAGTTCAAATGCAGTCAAAATTTAGGTGTCTATTGGCGAAGCCGCATAAAGGATTGGGTCAGTGTCAATTTCATTGAGCCAAGTGTTTGTGTTTGCAAGTGAGGCTTCTGCTTACGTTTCATTCAGGTTCTTGCAAGCTGTGTATCATGGATAACAATGGTACATTGCCCTTTTAGTAGGTTCCTGAGAGGTACAGACGGTGCTCTTCATGTGGATCTTCTGCAACTACTTTGTATCTTTGTTCTGTGCATATTCTGACCGGTTTTGGCATACATTTTTTTATCGCAGTCTAAATCCATTGCTATATATTCATGCTATAGCTCTTGATACGTAACAATGGTAGCACATGCCTTTACAACATTGTTTTTGAAAAGATCAGATAACTAATTCTAGACAATTTTTGAAAAGATCATATAACTAATTCTAGACAATGTTGTAAAGGCATATGATAAGATTGATTTTGAAAAGGCATATGATAAGGTGAATTGGAATTTCTTACAACAAGCACTAAGAATGAAGGGTTTTCATCCGGTGTGGTGTGGTTGGGTCAAAGTTTTTGTTCAAGGTGGGGATGTGGGCATTAAAGTTAATGACCAAATGGGCTCATATTTCCAGACCAAGAAAGGTCTTAGACAAGGTGATCCTCTGTCACCGATCCTTTTCAATATTGTTGTAGACATGCTAGCTATCATTTTATCTAGCGCCAAGGAGGAAGGCCAAATAAAAGGGGTTGTTACACACCTAGTGGAAAATGGCTTGTCTATCTTGCAATATGCAGATGACACGGTTCTATTTTTTGACCATGATATTGAACAGGCAAAAATTTTGAAACTTTTGCTTGGTACTTTTGAACAATTATCAGGATTGAAAATCAACTTTCATACAACAACAACAACAACGCCTTTAAGTCCCAAACAAGTTAGGGTAGTCTAGAGTTAAAACCCAGCAGAAACAATCAAGGTTCAGGCACGTGAATAGATGTTTTCCAAACACTCCTATCTAAGGCTAAGTCTTTGGGTATATTTCATCCTTTCAAGTCTCTTTTTATTGCCTCTATCCAAGTCAACTTTGGTCTTCCTCTGCCTCTCTTCATGTTACTATCCTGGCTTAGGATTTCACTACGCACCGGTGCCTTTAGAGGTCTCCGTTGGACATGTCCAAACCATCTCAACCGGTGTTGGACAAGCTTTTCTTCAATTGGTGCTACCCTTAATCTATCACGTATATCATCGTTCCAAACTCGATCCCTTCTTGTATGACCGCAAATCTAACGCAACATACGCATTTTCGCGACACTTATCTGTTGAACATGTCATCTTTTCATAGGGCAACATTCTGCACCATACAACATAGCAGGTCTAATCGTCATCCTATAAAACTTGCTTTTTAGCTTCTGTGGTATCCTTTTGTCACATAGGACATCAGATGCTTGGCGCCACTTCATTCACCTTGCTTTGATTCTGTTGCTACCATCTTTATCAATATCCCTATCTCTCTATAGCATTGATCCTAAATATTGAAAGGTGTCCTTCCTAGGCATTACTTGACCTTTCAAACTAATATCTTTCTCCTTCCGAGTAGTAGTGTCGAAGTCACATCTCATATACTCAGTTTTAGTTTTATTGAGTCTAAAACCTTTGGACTTTAAAGTCTCCCGTCATAACTCCAGTTTATGATTCACTCTTGTCCGGTTTTTATCAACTAGCACTACATCATCCGCGAAAAGCATACACCAAGGGATATCCCCTTGTATTATTTTGCTTCCGTAAAATCAACTTCCATAAAAGTGAATTATTTTGCTTTGGCCAAGCAAAAGAATTTGAGGAGCAATACTCATATCTATTTGGTTGCAAAATGGGATCATACCCTTTTCGATATTTGGACCTTCCTATGCATTACAGCAAGTTATATAATAAGGATTAGAAATTAATTGAAGAAAGAATTGAAAAGAAGTTAAGTGGGTGGAAAGGAAAACATTTATCATATGGGGTAGATAAGTGTTAATCAATTCTGTTTTGTCAAGCTTACCTATGTTCATGAAGTCTTTCTTTGAAGTCCCGAGAGGTGTTCTAAAAAAGATTGAATATTTTAGATCAAGGTTTTTTTGGCAAAATGAGTGGAATATTTTGTGCCAGCCAAAAGAGCAAGGTGGTTTAGGAATTCAAAATAGATTTACAAAATAAGTGTCTTTTAAGCAAATGGCTTTTCAAACTTTGCAACGAGTAGGGCACTTGGCAGGAGTTAATAAGAAACAAGTACCTAAAGAACAAGACTTTTAGTCAAATTGAAAAGAAAAATGGTTTTGCGAATTTTGGAATGGTTTGCTGGGAATCGTTTTCTTAAGTCTTAGGAAGTTTAAACTAGACAATGGAACTCAAATTAGATTTTGGGAAGATAAATGGTTGGGCTCTCAAGCCTTGAAAATTCAATACCCGAATTTATTTAATATAGTGCGGAAGAAACAAGCAACGGTGGCTGATGTACTTAATTCCACTCCTCTCAATGTGTCTTTTAGAAGGGCACTATTTGGGAACAAGCTATTGGAATGGCAAAGTCGAGTTGCGAGAGTTGCTTTTATTAACTTAAATGAGGGTCGGGATACTTTTATCTGGAACTTAAATAATAATGGCTTGTTTTCTGTTACATCCATGTATAAATACCTAGTCAATAACGGGATTAAGGTTACTCAGAAAATTGGGCATATGAAAGTGCCCCTGAAGATTAAGATTTTTCTTTGGTTCTTAAAGAAGGGGGTGATACTAACAAAAGACAAACTTGTTAGAAGGAATTGGAATGGTAGTAAGGCTTGTTTATGTAGCACACCTGAAACTATCCAACACTTGTTTTTTTATTGCCATTATGCCAGTTTTCTTCGGCGTGCTGTGTTTATTTTGTTTGGCATTAATCCTTCAAGGAACACGAACCATCTTTTTAATAGTTGGTCTAAGCTAGGAGGTTTCAACCATAATCATCTTTTATTGACTGGGGCTGCGGCGTTTTGCTGGGCAATATGTATCACAAGGAACGATGTGGTTTTTTATAAAGGTCACCCAAAAACTTTTTTTCAGGTTCTTTTTAGGGGAAACATACTGGTTACGGTTTTTGGCTCTGTTGCAGTGCTCGGATGACGGCAAGGAATGGATTCTTGACGCTTACAAGCTATTAGATAAGCTATTAGAATCGAGAGTCATGGAGTTTTTTGCATCGCATAGATGGTCTTTCATTTACCGTCTTTACTTTAGTTTTGAACATGTAATAAATTTTAATTATGGGTGTGCTACTGTAATAAGTTTGACTGATGGTTCTTCTTTTTATAAGAAGGCTGAAGCCGAAAATTTTCCATTATCTAAAAAAAAGTTATCTGATCTTAATAATTACTTTGTTTTTCTGTTTGCTCCATGAATTGTGAGCACCTATCCATGAATTCAGCTGATATACAATTGATGTACTCAAGTTGGCCAGCTCTTCTCGCTACCCTCAGCTTTCCTTACCATCGATCGCCTCTAATTTGTTATTCTTTAATTCAGGTTCTACTGTTTCAGGTTTAGACCATAGTGCGTAGTATCCTTGGTTAACAATTACACTGGCTCTTTGGTGTGTGCATATTCTGATTGGTTTGGGTATGCATTTTTTTTATCGCAAAGTCTAAATCCATTGCTATATATTAACGCTACAGCTCTGGGTACGTAACCATGGTACTATATGCCTTTAAACCAATTGTCTAAAATTGGTTATCTGATCTTAATAGTTACTTTGTTTTTTTTTTTTTTGCTCCATGAATTGTGGGCGTTGATCCATGAATTTCAGCTGATATACAATTTATGTACTCAAGTTGGCCACCTCTTCTCATCAGCTTTCTTTACCATCAATCACCTCTAATTTATTATTCTCTAATTCAGGTTCTACTGTTTCAGGTTTTGACCATAGTGCATAGTATCCTCAGTTAACAATTACACAGGCTCTCTGCTATGTCGATATTACCCCTTTTGCCTTAACACAGGCTACTAAACGCCACTCTGCTTATAAGGTAATAATTCACTGTGAATACAGTAGTACCCCTATATGTAAAAAGCTGACTTTTTCTGCAATATGTACACCCACAAACTGTACTAATGGTGATAGAATATTCCATGCTCTATTGCTTCTTTACCTTTGGGAGAGCGATGTTTAAAAAAACGAACCCACATTTTGCTCATACTAAACAGGTTGCAATGCGCCTTCCCGGGGCAAGCAAAGAATCGGGAGAGGACACGTGGAAGCTTCTCGTTTGCCATAATTCTGGAAAGGTGGCAAGATCACAGGGCCCCACACTAGAAGAAAGGAGAAGTCAACCTCGAAGAGAAAAGGCAAGCACCAAACCATATTTACTAATTTAGTTTATGTTTTCTCATATTGTTCTCATATTTACGAATGTCTATTCCACGTCCTCAGTGTTAGTCTTCTTCCTCGAGCTACTCATCTTTTATGATCGTAATCAGTCTGATGGAACACATTCCCATAACAAGCCTCGCTTGCCAGGTGCACGGCTTTATCAAACATTGAAAATTCTTCCGTTCATGGCAAAATGAGTATCCATGTCCAACTGAAACAGCCTTGTACTATGTTAAATTTATCTTGTGAAGTGCTAAAATGACAGCACATATGTAACTAATGTTACCGATCTTTTGGTTCCATGTGTAATAAAATGATGTGTTATAATTCCGCCTTGCTGGACCGTGCTTCCTGCTAGTAGTTCCTAGAAATTTTAGCCATGTGCGCCATTGAGAACGTTTACAGCTACTAATTAAGCTATAGGACTCATGATTTTTAATGTGTTTGTACGCCAAAATTTTGAACTCAAGTATCACGCGAAGAGATTGGAGGTTATATTTTTCACTTTTTTAAAAAAGATGTAGAGGCCTAGGATGAACAATCGTATATAAAAAAAAACTCGACACGAGGTGGCCTGACAGTCGTCGGGGTTTTCGGCTCAAGGTAGAGACCTCTCACGTAGATTGAAAAAACCCCCAAACCCCGTACCATGTCCGTACATAGGGGCCTGTAACCCTGTGAGTGGACCGGTGCCTACAAACCTATGCTTTGGGACGTGGGGCATGCGAGGGGATTTTTTCACCTCCTACGCTACAAATTCGCTCCCATAAGAGATCGAACTAAGACCGTGAGCGTGCCCACCAGAGTGTTTGACGAGCCAGTCTAATCCTTTGGCTAAACAACCGTATATATAGTACTAGAATTCTATAATCTACCCATACACAGAGCTGGCCGTAAAGTGTCTACCCTGTCGTTGTTGAGAAAAAAAAGAAAAAGAAATTAAAAAAAAAGAAGTCTACTTTGTAATAATCTTTTTTTTTAGATCTACTATGTGCTGCAGAACGGAACGGTAAGGAGAGGATGAAGTTCGAGTCATATTGGTTGGGCCACGTGCCCAACTTAAATGGGCCAGATCAGGGCCTAGTCTGTGGCCTAGTTGAAAACTGTCAATGCTTCCTCCTGCTTGGGTGGCCCAGATTGGGCCCGTCTTCGGCTGGATGGAGACAATCGACGGAATTCTTCCGGTCCGAACGGCCGGACGGAAGCCGTGCGCCAAACAGCCGCGTGAAGTTTGGCGGGAATCTCCGTCCGCAGCGCGCCGAACAGCCAGCGGACGTAATCACGGGCCACACAAGAGCAGGAAGGACCAGGCCCACGACAAGAGTTGTTGGGTGGGTTGTCGTTCTTTTTTTTGTTTTGTTTTCTTTTTCTTTCTGTTTTCTGACGTATTTATATTTTTCATTTTCTAGTATTTTTATATTTTGTTTAGTTATTTTATAATTTGAAACTGAGGAGTATATTATACTAATTATTTTATTTTATTTTCCTTTTGTGCTTCATTTACTTTATATTTTTATTTCCTTTTTTGTTTTATGTGTTTTTTTATATTTTTATCTTTCTTTTATTTATTTTTTCCTTTCCTTTCCTTATTATTTTTTATTTCCATATCTTTATTTTTGTTTTTTCGTTTTATTTATTTTTTTATTTTTATTTTCATTTATTTATTTTTTTGTTTTTACTATAATTAAATATTTTGTTTGTTTTATTTTATTTATATTTTATCATTTTCCTTTCTTTTTATTTTCTACAATTTAGTATAGTGTGATGTTTTGTGATGTATTTTATGATGTTGAGGTAATATACATGCGATGTTCTGTGATGTATTTTATGATGTTCTTTGATGTATTTGTCATGTTCACATAATATACATGTGATGTTTTGTGTTATATTTTGTGATGTTCACATAGTATATATATGTGATGTTCTAGATGTATTTTCCTGATGTTCACATGATATACATTTAATGTTCTATGTTTTACTTTTGTGAAATTCACATGGCATACATGCGATGTTCTAAGATATACTTTTGGATGTACACATAGTATAAGTTTAATGTTCCATGATTATCTTATGAGATTGTGTATAATATATTTTTTTGGTTTGATATGATTTAACAACGAAAATATTTCATATTTATTGCAAACACTAATGTGCTATAGTGGTAGGAGAATGATACCATAGACCATGGGTCTTGGGTTCAATTTTGTGCAAGCGCACTATTTTACTATTTTTTGATTTGTGAATGTTTCTTATTTTCTTTAGCCGGAGAAAGAAGCGCGCAGGAAAAAGTTGCAAGCACGAAAATTAATAAAATTATTGAAAATTAATTAAATAAATTGTCGAGAATTAATTACTGAGCTGGAAAAAGCTGGCTGGGCGGGAAAGCTGCGAGCGCCAAAATTAATTGCCGGACGGAGCTTACCGTCCGAATAGCTAGCACGCCCCGACAATCGAGTGCACTACTCTGGAGCTATGCCAAAATTAATTGCTGGACGGAGCTTACCGTTCGAATGGGCGGTAAGCTAGCACGCCCCGACAATCAAGCGCGCTACTTTAGAGCTATGCCAAAGGGGTCTTTAGTTCTCAACGAGATCTAGATTTAAGAAGATTATGTAGGAGCCCAAATAATTCATAAACAATGGCATACCTAAAAGAAGAAATATGGGACCAGATGTCACATATGGTACATTTGAATCAAAAACACCTACGAAACCGTTGCGGACTATTTCAGCAGAGGTGACGGTGGTAATTTGTCACGTTTTGAAAGTTAAGAATCGGATTTTATCTACTTCAACGATGCTTTTAAATCCAAGGTTAAATTTAAAGGGTAAATCGGATTTTATCCTTTTATTTTTCTTAGCACAAAAACACCAGGACAACAGACATCAACATCATCACGATTCACGACGACGAAACGACAGATACTTTGCCAAGCGCACCCGCCGTCCACCTGCCGACGACCTCGTCCAACGTCCGGCGCGACGATCCATCCGGCGCGCACGCCAGGTCCGCCGCTTGCTGCAGGTCCCCCGTCCGGCGCCGCACGGCGCGCCCATCCTCCCCCTCCATCAGCTCCCTCACCGCCGCCGCGATCTGCTCGCGCCCAACCAGCCCGTCGTCCGTGCGGACGCGCAGCCGCAATGCCACGCCCACGTTCTCCGACAGGACCACGGCGTTCATCCGCTGCTCCGCGTACAGCGGCCACGCCACCATCGGCACGCCGGACAAGACGGCTCTCCAGCGTCGAGTTCCACCCGCAGTGGGACACGAAGGCGGCCGTCGCCGGGTGGGACAGCACGCGCACCTGCGGCGCCCACGACGCCACGGCGAGGCCACGCCCCCGGGTCCTCTCCAAGAACCCCTCTGGAAGCCAAGCCAAGGGATCGTTCTCGTCACCACCGCCACGGGATTTCCGACCCATGCCGTCGGAGTGCTCGCCCTCCAGGCTTGGCATGCGCACGATCCAGAGGAACCTGTGCCCGCTGTCCTCCAGCCCGGCGGCGAGCTCCGCCGTCTGCTCCACGGACAGCGTGCCGGCGCTCCCGAAGGAAACGTACACCACGGATCCCGTCGGCTGCCGATCCAGCCACTCTATGCACGGCGACGACACGCCGCCTTCGTCGGAGCTTGACCTGACGAACGGGCCCACCGGGTAAGCCGGCGGGAACCGCCTTGCTCTGCCGCCTTCTTAAACTCCTCCACGGTCGCCGGATCCATCTCGTAAAAGTGTCCAAGAAGCCGGCAGCGGTCGCCCCACGTGGATCCATCTCGCGCGTAGAAAGTGTTCACCAACCCACTCGAAGCCGGCAGCGGTCCGGGAGGTCGGATACTGCGCCGGCGCCACGTGGATGAGTTGCGCTTCGCATGACGGAGAGCACGTTCCTTGGTGGTATGTGCCCCGGGACCCACTCGGCACGTCCTCGAGCGAAGAAGTCGTAGCGCGGCCAGCGGGGCGGCGGCCCAACGTCGTGAAGCGGCGGGATGGAGAGGCCGATCACCTCGAGGGAGGTCGCGATACATCGCCGGGGAGCGCCGAGAGCAGATCGAAACGTTCGCCGCGCGGAGGGAGGAAAGGACGGCGGCGGAGTGCGCGTCAGGGTCCCCGTAATTTTGACGAGGGCGTACCCGCCACGAGGCGCTCGCCAGCTTTTACTCTTTGATTGATGAAAACGACATGCGGCCGGTCGGGGCGTGGCCCGGCGGCGGCTGCGCTGGTGGTTACCGACGCCATGGATTTCGGGCTTGGGCAGCAGGCTGCTACAGTGCCGTGATGCAAAGCACGACTGCACGAGACCCGCGTTGTTGCTGTTGGATGGATGGTGCCGTTGAATACGTAAGATTTCGCCTGTTCAAGCTGCTATTAGTAATTTTGACAGCGGCTTGCTCCATTTTGTCTTTGATTGATGAAAATAAAGACGGTATTGGATATTTGGATTTGGTCATTTGTATATTCGGCTACTGCTACGCGGCTGCCGCTGTATTTTCACCGGTTTTCGCGTTTTTTTTTTGTTTCTATCGCCGCCCTCAGGTATTTATGTTCATTTTAGCTAGTAGCTATATAATCATATATTACAGATCCTCTTTATTTTGTTCTAACTTTGCCCTAGATGATATTTGGCTTCATCCGACCGGATCGCTTCCCAAATGGTCCGTGGAGACCAAAAATCGCTTCCCAATTATTTTGTCATCTTAGTTGCCCTAGCCAGCCAGGAGCCAGATGGCTAGAGAAGCGGAAGAAAAAGAGGCGGTGGTGGTCGAACGAACCAAAGGAAAGCGACCACTCTGTCTTCTCTTCTATTGTACTCCCGTACGCACGCACGCACTTGGTTCAATGACGAAAGGAATGCCATGGGGTTTACGTACACCCTACACCCACCGAGCGCGAGGCCGGACAGCGAGCGACTGGCGAGTGGCGACAGCAGCACGGACCGCGGACGCGTGGTCAGGCACGAAGAGGGCACATCGCACACCTTGGCAGGCTAGCAGCAGCGGCCGCCACGTAAGCTGGCGTCGAGGATCGGTGGCAGGGTGTTCATGGGTTGAGCAACTCAACAGAACCAACCCATTGTTATAAAAAAAACATTATATTCATCTCGACAACACACAGAGATTAAAATAAATATGGGTGCGGCCAAAGACTTTATTTGAGTTAGATCGGATTGAGTACTTGGTTAGATTAGATTGAGTTAGACCTCTAGGTTTCACAGAATCATAGATCATTCCACTTTCACACGTATCACCTTGAATTCGCGGAGCGTTCTAGTCGATATGCCTCGTAATCAGACTCCACGACTGGGCAGATTGGGACCATTGTAGCTAGTTCGCGGCCAAGTCCTCGTCGCCACTTAACTGAACACTCCCGGCGCCCGCCTCGCGCCACCAGGAGTCCAGGAATATAATTTCAACGTCGCTGTGTGCATGCTTCTTGGCATGAAGCCACGCTACTACGATCAGCATTAGTAGAGACTGGCTCATGGATATTTGTCGGGACGGTTTGGTCAGCCGTCCCTACAAAAACATACCTACAAATGATTGGTTTATAGGGGTGGATCATTAGCCGCCCCTATAAATCTTATTTGTAGGGGTGACTCATGATTTATGGGCGGTTGAAGTCGTCTCTACAAATTTGTTTCAAAAAATTCTCAAATCTAGGCTAAAAAAATTAATCTCAGGACGCACCCAACGATCAACCCGCCTGCTCCGACGAGGTCGCAATCCTCAACCGAATTTAAATTGAGTGTTTGAGACCCTAAATGAATTCAAATCGAAAAGTTGTCAACTATAAAATTGTATAATTTTTCGAGATCTACAACTTTCGTTTTTGATGTTTCTCCATCCGATGCCGTTTGAAAAATTCGAATTTCAAATGTTGGAAATTCCGACGTAATTATCCTCAACTAGATAATTTCAAATGAAAAACTTGTCAACTACAAAATTGCATAACTTTTTGAGATCTACAACTTTCGTTTTTTTTCTTCATTTGAGGTCATTTGAAAAATTCAAATGTTAAATGTGAGAAATTCAAACATAATTTTCCTTGACAAGATAATTTTAAATGAAAAAGTTATCAACTATAAAGTTGCATAACTTTTCGAGATCTACAACTTTTATTTTTGTTATTTCTCCATCCGAGGTCTTTTGAAAAATTCAAATTTTAAATTTGAGAAATCTAAATTTCAATTTTGAGAAATTCAAACATAGTTTTCCTTGACAAAATGATTTTCAATGAAAAAGTTATCAACTACAAAGTTCTATAACTTTTCTAGATCTACAACTTTTATTTTGGTCATCTTTTCATGTGACTTTGTTTGAACAATTTACAATTTGAATTTCAAATAATGACTACTTCAAACAATATTTTGAAACAGTAAATGATTTCATCTGAAAAAGTCATGAACATAAAAGTTGTATAACTCATCAAGATCTACAAGTTTATTTTGGTTATTTATTCATCCGATAAAATGGTAGTATACATTGATAAAACAAAGTCACATGAAAAGATGACCAAAATAATAGCCGTAAGAACACAATAAATTGATAGAGCATAATTTTAGAAAATTTTTGGAAAAAATCATCAAATTTAAATTTAGTACGAGGGAGAAAGACTAGTTACAAGTTTTAGTCAGAGATTAAAAAGAGAAATCAGAGTTCTTCGACAATTCGAAAATTGAATTTCAAATAGCATTTTGAAATAGGAAATGATTTTAAATGGAAAAGTTGTAAACAACACAGTTGCAGAACTTTTCGAGATCTATAACTTTTATTTTGGTCATTTCTCCATCCGAGGTCATTTGAAAAATTCAAATTTTACTACTTAATTTTTGCTATTCAGCATCTATTTGTAGAGGTGGCTCTATATCTGGCCGCCCCTACCCCTACAAATAGGCCTACAAATAGGGTTATTTATAGAGTGGATGATAACACCAGCAGCCCCTACAAATAAATTTATAGTGATGGCTCGTTTGGAAACCATTTGTAGGGGCATCTCGAAATAAAATCGCTCTTTAAAAAAAAGGAGGCGCTATGAATCTGCGTTTAACTAAGGGCATGTTTGGTTGGAGACTAAAGCTTGCCATGCCAAAGGATGGTCATGCCACAGTTTCTCCGACAACTGTTTGGTTCACTGCCACAGTTATGGCACGCCAAACTTTCCTAGCACCCCGCCCCGCATGTCATAGACTCATTTTCGTACCATAACTTGCCACAAGTTTGGCATTGATTTTTCTCACCACACTTTCTGTGGCAGCCACAGTTTACCGAATGTTAGGCGTGGCAAGTTTTGGTCGTCAACAAAACAGACCCTTAATGTGTTGGCATCCAACCCATGTGTAATTTGGTGCATGTATGAGTCGCACTGCGTGTCCGTAACAGCGCTGGCACCGACGTGCCGTGCTACCGTCCTTCTTCTTATCCATTTCACTTGTCCTTAACTGTAGCTGCTGGAAGGGCCTAATGGCTAAAGGGGGTGAATAGCCTATTAAAAATTTTTACAACAACACTTAGCAGAGATGTTAGACAATAAAATAACGAAGCGAGTATTATACTAGTCTACTAAAAATGCAAGTCACCTACCATAATTCTAGTGACTAGAATCTCTAAGCACACAATGGTTAAGTCACTATACTAAGTTAGTGTGCTCTTAAAGGCTAACTAAAGAGCCACACTAACCACTAGACCCGACATAAGCTTGCTCTCAAAACTAATTACACCAAAGAGCGAAACATCACTAGAAATATAAATACAAGGTAGGAGATGTGGTGATTATACCGTCGTGTCGAGGATAGAGCCAATCATAATATGATTGAACTAATCAATCACAATCAGTCAATGAATACCAAGAAAATCTCGGACAAGGTGACACAAGATTTTTTTACCGAGGTTCACTTGCTTGCCGGCAAGCTAGTTTTTCGTGATGGTGCCAGAAATGCTTGTTGGTATGTCTAGCATCACTACTAGAATGATACTAAGTAGTTCTTTATCATTTTATGTGACTAGAAAGAATATAAAGATATATGAATGAAAAGGAATCTGCAAGCGTGAAAGCTCTAGTTTGGTTTTGGTTAATTGATGAAACCCTAAGTGCTAACCTAGTTTGTCAAAGTGATTATGAGATAGGTAGCACTACTCTAAGTGATGAAGCAATAGTGAAGATCACGATGATGGTGAAGGCATGGTGATGATCAAATGCTTGAACTTGAAAAAGAAGAAAGAGAAAAACAAAAGGCTCAAGGCAAAGGTATAAATAGTAGGAGCCATTTTGTTTTAGTGATCGAGACACTTAGTGAGTGTGATCACATTTATGATCAATAGTCGTACTATTAAGAGGGGTTAAACTCGTATTGAAATGCGGTTATCAAAGTGCCACTAGATGCTCTAACTCATTGCATATGCATTTAGGATCTAGTGGAGTGCTAACACCCTTGAAAATGATTATGAAAATATGCTAACACATGTGCACAAGGTGATACACTTGGTGGTTGGAATATTTGAGCAAGGGTGAAGAAGATAGAGTTGAAAAGAAGTTAGTCGCACTGGTCACAGAGTGATCGGACGGGTCCGGTATGGTGACCGGACACGTCCGGTATTTACGACGAACTCAGCGACCGGACGCGTCCGGTGTGAATCAGCTATGTCGTTGTTCGGTGAAATAGTTGATCGGACGCTGGCAGCGTCCGGTCGACCGTGGGTGCTTACTGGACTCGACCGGACGCTGAGGCTCAACGTCCGGTCAATTTCTAACAGACACGTCCGATCGGCCTCGAGTACTCTCTGGACTCGGCCAGACACTGCGGCTCAGCGTCCGATCATTTCTATTTCAGCGTCCGGTCTAAGCGTCCGGTCGAATGTAAGTGTGGGCAGCAACGGCTACTTTGGTTTGAACGGGACACGTGGCGGTCTAGGAGCGACCGGACGCGTCCGGTCGACCTACCGGACGCGTCCGGTATTCACGAACGATGTGTCCGGTGCAACACCCGGTGCACTCGAGCAGCGCGTCCGGTCGATGCGCAGTCTGCCCAATAATTGAGCCAACGGCTCTATTTCGTGGGGGCTTCTATTTATGCCCCATAGCCGGCTCAAGCTCACTCTCTTGGCCATTTGCATTGACATATCAACCTTGTGAGCTTAGCCAAAGTCCTCTCACTCATCTCCATCATTGATCCATCATCATTATGAGATTGGGAGAGAATCCAAGTGCATTGCTTGAGTGATTGCATATAGAGGCACTTGGTA